ATTGTACTGTACTCCTTTGCAGAAGGGGGTTAGACTAGATGACCTTGGGTATCCCTTCCAACTCTATTAATAATAATAATGGATAATAATAATAATAATAATAATGGATAATAATGGATAATAATGTGATTATATTATTATTATACATATATATATAGTAATTGTACTGTACTCCTTTGCAGAAGGGGGTTAGACTAGATGACCTTGGGTATCCCTTCCAACTCTATTAATAATAATAATGGATAATAATAATAATAATAATGGATAATAATGGATAATAATGTAATAGTAATTTTGGTGAAGCTGCATCCTTTGGGAAGATAGAGCTTTTATTTGTTCAGCTGGAAAACCCGGAGAGCGGAGGAGGAGGGGACGGCCTGGTGCTGGGCCTCACGGGGAGATCTCCAAGGTGCTGATCTCGGGGCAAGGCGTCTTCCCGTCGGGCCCGAAACCCCCCACCAGGTATAATTTGTCATTCAAGACACACGTCCGGTGACCGATCCGCTTCAAAGCCCGGTTGGAGGAAGGGAAGTGGAACCACTGGCCGGGCGACGACCCTGCGAGGACCCAGGAGCAAAAAAAAAGGCCGTCAGGTAATAATAATAATAATAATAATAATAATAATAATAATAATAATAATAGCAACAACAAATAATGCTTATTACCCGCCTCTCCCTCTTCTGTGATTATTTGATACAGAAAAATAAATCCCATTCAAGGTGATAAAGGCTGCATTGTGAGGTATTATTAGCCCATCTAATAATAATAATAATAATAATAATAATAATAATAATAATAATAACCAGACACAGTGAAGGCATCTTGCTACTCCGCTGTTGCGTATATTCAAACTGGATGTGACTCTTAATGAGACATGCCACATAATAATAATAATAATAATAATAATAATAATAATAATTGTGTTTTTGTGTCATTAAAATAATAATATTACTATTTAATAATCAATATGACTTATTTAATATTACTTAATAATATTCCTATTTAATAATAAAAAATAAAAATCCAGGAATGGAAAGGTTTCTGTGGGCCTATCTCGTAATAATAATAATAATAATAATAATAATAATAATAATAATAATAATAATAATAATTTTTGTGTTTTGGTGTCAGTAAAATAATAATAATAATAATAATAATAATAATAATATAATTACTATTTAATAATCGATATGACTTATTTAATATTACTTAATAAATAATATTATTATTAAATAATAAAAATTCGGGAATGGAAAGGCTTCTTGAGGGCCCATCTCGTAATAATAATAATAATAATAATAATAATGTTTGTGTTTTTGTGTCATAAATAATAATAATAATAATAATTACTATTTAATAATTAATAAGACTTATTTAATATTCCTTAATAATTAATATTATTATTTAATAATAAAAATCCAGAAACGGAAAGGCTTCTTGAGGGCCTATCTCATAATAGTAATAATAATAATAATAATAATAATAATAATAATAATAATTTTTGTGTTTTGTGTCAGTAAAATAATAATAATAATAATACTATTTAATAATCAATATGACTTATTTAATATTATTTAATAATTAATATTATTAAATAATAAAAATTCTGGAATGGAAAGGTTTCTTGAGGGCCTATCTTGTAATAATAATAATAATAGTAATAATTTTTGTGTTTTTGTGTCAGTAAAATAATAATACTAATATAATTACTATTTAATAATTAATATGGCTTATTTAATATTATTGTTTAATAATAAAAATAGAAATCTGGGAATGGAAAGGCATCTGAGGGCCTATCTCGTAGTAATAATAATAATAATAATAATAATAATAATAAATTACTATTTAATAATTAATATGACTTATTTAATATTATTTAATAATTAATATTATTATTTGATAATAAAAATCTGGGAATGGAATGGCTTCTGAGGGCCGATCTCGTAATAATAATAATAATAATAATAATAATAATAATAATAATAATTTTTGTGTTTTGTGTCAGTAAAATAATCATCATAATATAATTACTATTTAATAATATGACTTACTTAATATTACTTAATAAATAATATTATTATTTAATAATAAAAATTCGGGAATGGAAAGGCTTCTTGAGGGCCGATCTCGTAGTAATAATAATAATAATAATAATAATAATTTTTGTGTTTTTGCGTCAGTAAAATAATAATAATATAATTACTATTTAATAATTAATATGACTTACTTAATATTATTGTTTAATAATAAAAATAGAAATCTAGGAATGGAAAGGCATCTGAGGGCCTATCTCGTAGTAATAATAATAATAATTACTATTTAATAATTAATATGACTTATTTAATATTATTTAATAATTAATATTATTATTTAATAATAAAAAATAAAAATCCAGGAATGGAAAATCTTCTGAGAGGCTATCTCGTAATAATAATAATAATAATAATAATAATAATAATAATAATAATAATAATAATAATAATAATAATATAATTACTATTTAATAATCGATATGACTTATTTAATATTACTTAATAAATAATATTATTATTAAATAATAAAAATTCTGGAATGGAAAGGTTTCTTGAGGGCCTATCTTGTAATAATAATAATAATAGTAATAATTTTTGTGTTTTTGTGTCAGTAATAATAATACTAATATAATTACTATTTAATAATTAATATGGCTTATTTAATATTATTGTTTAATAATAAAAATAGAAATCTGGGAATGGAAAGGCATCTGAGGGCCTATCTCGTAGTAATAATAATAATAATAATAATAATAATAATATACTGTTTAATAATTAATATGACTTATTTAATATTATTTAATAATTAATATTATTTGATAATAAAAATCTGGGAATGGAAAGGCTTCTTGAGGCCAATCTCGTAATAATAATAATAATAATAATAATAATAATAATAATAATAATAATAATAATTGTGTTTTTGTGTCAGTAAAATAATAATATAATTATTTAATAATTATTATTATTATTGTGTTTTTGCGTCAGTAAAATAATAATATTACTATTTAATAATATGACTTATTTCATATTACTTAATAATTAATATTATTATTTAATAATAAAAATTCGGGAATGGAAAGGCTTCTTGAGGGCCGATCTCGTAATAATAATAATAATAATAATAATAATAATAATTTTTGTGTTTTTGTGTCAATAAAATACTAATAATAATAATATAATTACTATTTAATAATCAATATAACTTATTTAATAATAAAAATCCAGGAATGGAAAAGCTTCTGAGGGCCGATCTCGTAATTAATAATAATAATAATAATAATTATTATTATTATTGTGTTTTTGTGTCAGTAAAATAATAATAATAATAATAATAATAATATAATTACTATTTAATAATTAACATTTATTTAATATTACTTTATAATATTACTATTTAATAATAATAAAATTAAAATCTAGGAACGGAAAGGCTTCTGAGGACCTATCTCATAATAATAATAATAATAATAATAATAATAATTTTTGTGTTTTTGTGTCAGTAAATAATAATAATAGTAATTACAATAATTAATATGACTTATTTAATATTACTTAATAATTAATATTATTATTTAATAATAAAAATCCAGGAATGGAAAGGCTTCTGAGGGCCTATCTCGTAATAATAATAATAATAATAATAATAATAATAATAATAATACATGTTATTGCCCGCCCCTCCTCTAAGCGCTCAGAGCGGAGTACAACACAGCCCAAACCTCTTGACCTTGCGGGGTGGGGTGGGGGTCCACTTACGGGCGTCGTGGACGTAGAGGTCGTTGCAGACGGCGTCCCGGCCTTTCCCCAGCGTCTCCCCCCCGAAGATGACCGCAAAGGGCCCCACCACCGAGCAGGACTGGTGCCGCAGACCCTTGGGAGGATGACCGCTGGCCTTTCCGGCGGCCACCAAGCGAGAGAGCTGCTCCGTCAGGCCGGGGGCCAAGGCCAAGTCCACCTAAGAAGGAGGGCGGAAAACGTAGCTGATGGCCATCTATCAGGAGGGTTCGGATGGTGTCTTCAAAGGCAGAATGGGGTTGGACTAGATGATCTTTGGGGGTCCTTTCCCATTGAGTGGAGGCTGTGACTGCTTCCACTCAATGCTGCCATCAATGCCCTATTATTACTACTATGACTACTACTATTATTACTATTAGTAGTATGATTATTACTACTTTGTTGTTCATTCGTTCAGTCGTCTCCGACTCTTCGTGACCTCATGGACCAGCCCACGCCAGAGCTCCCTGTCAGCCGTCACCACCCCCTACTACTACTACTATCGTCGCTACTACTATGACTATTATTGTTACCATTACTATGACGACTATTATTACTACTATGACTGCTACTATTATTACTATTACTATTGTGACGATGACTACTATTTTTGTTACTACTATGACTTATTACTACGACAACGACTATTATTGTTACTACAACTACTATGATGACTATTATTACTACTACTATGACTCCTATTATTATTATTACTACTACATATTACTACTATGACTATTATTCTACTATTATTGCCATTACTACTATGATGACTATTATTACTACTACTATGACTCCTATTATTACTACAACATATTACTACTATGACTATTATTGCTACTACTACTATGATGACTTATTACTACAACTATTATTATTACTATTACTACTACAACTACTATTATTGTTACAACTACAACTATTACTACTATGATTTATTGCTACAACTACGACTATTACTACGACTATCATTATTACTACTATGACTGCTACTATTACTACTATTGCTACTATTACTACTATGACAATGACTATTATTTTTATTATTACTACTACTCTTGTTAGTACTACTACTATTATTACTACCGTGACAACTATTATTACTACTACTATGACCGCTACTATTGTTGTTGTTACTACTACTATTGTTATTACTACTACTATTATTACTATTATGACTTATTGCTACTACTACTTCTATGACTATTGTTACTACTATTACTGCTACTATTATTACTATTATTACTACTACAACTACTATTGTTACTATTACGACGGTTGGGCTGGACGGCCACGTTTCGCACCTGAATCTGGCCCTTGGGCCACCGCCCGGCGATGTCGCAGTCGGCTGAGTCGCGGCCGCCAAAGACCACCAGCTTGTAGCCACGGATCTTGCCGGCCGGCCCCCCTTCGGGCAGCAACATGGCCGAGTGGCCGGCCCGAGAAGCCGTCCGGGATTCCTCCTCTTCGTACCTGGCAGGCAGGAAAGAAAAGAGGGTTTGGCCATCTGCGAGGAGGGCTTGGGTGGTGTCTTTCTAATGGATTGAACTGGGTGGCCCCAGAATAATGGCCTTGAACTGGATGGCCTTTAGGATCCCTTCCGACTCGAATAATAATTATAATGATAGATCCCATGAGTCCTACCAGTAGGCCTTCCGATTCTATGAATAAAAATAATAGTAGTAGTAGTAGTAGTAATAATACTGAATCCTATGAGCCCTACCAGTAGGCCTTCCGACTCTATGAATAAAAATAATAGTAGTAGTAGTAGTAATAATAATAATAATCCTATGAATCCTATGAGCCCTACCAGTAGGTCTTCCGACTCTCTGAATAGTGGTAGTAGTAATACTGGATCCTGTAGTAGTAATAATAATAATAATAATAATAATAATAATAATGGATCCTATGAGCTCTACCAATAGGCCTTCCGACTCTATGAATAATAGTAGTAGAAGTAGTAGTAGTAATAATAGTAATAATAATAATAATAATGGATCCTATGAGCCCTACCAATAGGCTTTTCAGCTATGGATAATAATAATAGTGGTAGTAGTAATAATAATAATAATACTGAATCCTATGAGCCCCACCAGTATCCTTACCAGTAGGCCTTCTGAGTCCATGAATGATAATAGTAGTAATAGTAATAATAATAATAATAATAATAATAATAATAATAATAATAACGGATCCTACGAGCCCTATTAGTAGGCCTTCCAAGTCGAATAATAATAGTAGTAGTAATACTGGATCCTGTGATCCCTACCAGTAGGCCTTCTGAGTCCATGAATAATAATAGTAGTAGTAGTAATAATAATAATAATGGCTCCTATGACTCCTACCAGTAGGCCTTCTGAGTCTATGGATAATAATAGTAGTAGTGGTGGTGGTGGTGGTAATAATAGTAGTAATAGTAATGATAATACTGGATACTGAGTCCTATCAGTAGGCCTTCCAACTCTATGAATAGTAGTAGTAGTAGTAGTAATAATGATGATGATGATGGATCCTGTGAGCCCTTGCCAGTAGGCCTTCCAACTCTATGAATAGTAGTAGTAGTAGTAGTAGTAGTAGTAATAATGATGATGATGATGATGATGATGGATCCTGTGAGCCCTGTCAGTAGGCCTTCCAACTCTATGAATAATAGTAGTAGTAATGATGATGATGATGGATCCTGTGAGCCCTGTCAGTAGGCCTTCCAACTCTATGAATAGTAGTAGTAGTAATTATGATGATGGTGATGGATCCTGTGTGCCCTGCCAGTAGGCCTTCCAACTCTATGAAAAATACTATTATTACTACTAGTAGTAGTAATGACCAGTAGTAGTAGTAATGACAGGACCAGGGCCGATGATGATGATGATGATGATGATGATGATGATGATGATGATGGATCCTGTGAGCCCTGCCAGTAGGTCTTCCAACTCTATGAATAGTAGTAGTAGTAATTATGATGATGGTGATGGATCCTGTGAGCCCTGCCAGTAGGCCTTCCAACTCTATGAAAAATACTATTATTACTACTACTACTACTACTACTAGTAATGACCAGTAGTAGTAGTAATGACAGGACCAGGGCCGATGATGATGATGATGATGATGATGATGATGGATCCTGTGAGCCCTGCCAGTAGGCCTTCCAACTCTATGAATAGTAGTAGTAGTAGTAATACTGGATCCTGCGATGCCTACCAGTAGGATTTCCTGGCGGCGTCCAGGTGCAAGGTGAAGATGCTGGCGTATCGCCTCTGCGTGCGCAGCCCGCCCTCGCGGCCCACCACCTTGGCCTGGTGCTCGGAGACTTTGGTGCAGGTGTGGCTGCTCAGCCCCACGGGAGTCTGCCCGGCGGGTGGCCCCACGGCCCACGGCTCCCAGCGCAGCCGCTCCACGTCGAAGGCCCACACCTCCGAGACACGCCGCCCGCCGTCCCAGCCCCCCACTGCGCACAGGTAGCGGTCAGATAGGACCAGAGTCTGGTGGTGGCTGCGCCGGCATCCGCCCCCTCCGTCCGGGGCCAGGCTGCGCACCGTCTGGGTCGCCGGGTCGAAGGCCACCACGTCTCCCAGTGGGGGGTCCGTGGGGCTTTTCAGACCCCCGAAGACGAGGAGGTTGCCTCGCACGACCTCGCACGAGTGGAAGCCACGGGCCAAGAGATCACTTCTCACTAGAGGCTTCCAAGTCCAGCGGCCGGAGTCGGCGCTCGCGGACGACATCCTGTGGGAAATAGTACATCATTATACCACTAAAAATAGAATACTAATAATGTAATATACTACTACTACTAGTAGTAATCTATATATATATAAATGTTATATGCGTTCGTGGGATGAACGTAAGGACGACATCCTGCGGGAAGTAGTATATTATTATACTACTAAAAATAGAATACTAATAATGTAATATAATAGTAGTAGTAGTAGTAGTAATCTATATATATAAAAATGTTATATGTGTTTGTGGGATGAATGTAAGGACGACATCCTGCGGGAAGTAGTATATTATTATACTACTAAAAATAGAATACTAATAATGTAATATAATACTACTACTACTAGTAATCTATATATATATAAATGTTATATGTGTTTGTGGGATGAACGTAAGGACGACATCCTGCGGGAAGTAGTATATTATTATACTACTAAAAATAGAATACTAATAATATAATACTACTACTAGTAGTAATCTATACATATAAAAATGTTATATGCGTTTGTGGGATGAACGTAAGGACGACACCCTGCGGGAAGTAGTATATTATTATACTACTAAAAATAGAATACTAATAATGTAATATAATACTAATGTTGGGAAGGTCAAGAGAAATGCTTTCCTTTCAGTTCCGGGATCTCGAAAAGCCTTATATTGATTCATGGGAGAGAGTTGGAAGGGACCCCAAAGGTCATCTAGTCTAAACCCTTTCTGCAATTACTATTATATTATTACCCGTTATTATTATTATTATTAGAGTTGGAAGGGACCCCAAAGGTCATCTAGTCTAAACCCTTTCTGCAATTACTATTACATTATTATCCGTTATTATTATTATTATTATTATTATTATTATTATTATTATTATGAATTGGAAGGGACCCCAAAGGAATACTAATAATGTAATATAGTATAATATAATACTACTACTACTAGTAATCTATATATATATAAATGTTATATGTGTTTGTGGGATGAACGTAATATACTAGTAATAAAATGGTAATATACTACTACTACTACTACTACTAATAATAATAATAATAATAATATAATACACTAGTAAAGCCCGACTGCTCATTGGAGGGAAAGATACTAGAGACAAAGTTGAAGTACATCATGAGGAGACAGCAAAGCCTAGAGAAGGGAATGATGCTGGGGAAAGTGGAAGGCAAAAGGAAGAGGGGCCGACCAAGGGCAAGATGGATGGGTGGCATCCTTGAAGTGACTGGACTGACCTTGAGGGAGCTGGGGGTGGTGACGGCCGACAGGGAGCTCTGGCGTGGACTGGTCCATGAGGTCACGAAGAGTCGGAGACGACTGAACGAATGAACAACAACAGTAATAATAATATTATGCTATAATATAATAATACTAATGATATAATATAACCCTACTAATACTACTCATAATATAATAATATAAATAATACAAATAATATAATATACTAGTAATAATGTAATAATATAGTAATACTACTACTACTAATAATAATATAATAATATACTACTACTAATAATAATATAATATACTAGTAATAATATAATATACTAGTAATTATATACTACTACTACTATAATATACAACTACTAATATGATATACAAGTAATAATATAATACTACTGCTAATAATGTAATATACTAGTAATAATATACTAGTATTAATATAATATAATATACTAGTAATAATGTAATAATATAGTAATACTACTACTACTACTAATAATAATAATATAATATACTACTACTAATAATAATATAATATACTAGTAATAATATAATATACTAGTAATTATATACTACTACTACTATAATATACAACTACTAATATGATATACAAGTAATAATATAATACTACTGCTAATAATATAATATACTAGTAATAATATACTAGTATTAATATAATATAATATACTAGTAATAATGTAATAATATAGTAATACTACTACTACTAATAATAATATAATAATATACTACTACTAATAATAATATAATATGCTAGTAATAATATAATATACTAGTAATTATATACTACTACTACTATAATATACAACTACTAATATGATATACAAGTAATAATATAATACTACTGCTAATAATATAATATACTAGTAATAATATACTAGTATTAATATAATTATATAATACTATTAATAATATAATAATACTAATAATATAATATACTAGTAATTATATAATACTATGAATACTACTAATAATGTAATTATATAATACTAATATCACTACTAGTATATTGTTATATAATAATACTAATACTATTAATAATATAATAATACTAATAGTGTAATATACTAGTAATTATATACTATGAATACTACTAATAATATAATTATATAATACTACTAATAATATACCAGTAATTATATAATATAATACTACTAATAATCAGATATAATAATACTACTAATATAATATATTAGTAGTTATATAATAATACTAAATACTAGTAGTTATATAATAAAACTAATACTATTAATACAATAATACTAATGATATAGTAGTAATAATGTAATAATGTAGTAATACTACTAATAATATAATAATTCTAATTATAATATTATTATTATAATATTTGGGAGAGAAGGCTAAGCAAATGCGGTCGACTCCTTGGAGAAATCTTTGCAAGGAATTAACGAGTCTTGATTAATTAATATGGAGATTAACCCAAAAGCTGAGGATTTGCACCCGGGTCTCTATTATTATTATTATTATTTATTATTATTAATTATTATTAGCCAATATTGATTTGCAAAGGGATCGGAGCGCTTCCTTTAAAGGAAGTGATGTCATCCTCGATCTATGCTATATATATATTCATTCCAAAAGCAGTTACCTTGCAAAAAGTTACATTTTCCCAAGGCCAGGGTTACAACGTCGGGCATTGCATCATCGTTGCCGCCAGTGTTGTTGGAAACGGCCAATCCCCAAAAGGGCTGCCGAGCGGGAGGCGGTTGCCGGGCAACCGGGAGCCCATAGCAACCGGTCTCCCACGGCAACCGCATCCTGGTGCCTGCCTCTCCCTTGGCAACGGATGAGGACGGCCAGGAAGCATCTTTGCAGAGTCAGGAAAAAAGACCTACATCTATCTCTATATATATATATATAAATTGAGAAATCAGGTGGGGGTTGAAAGAATTATTTGGGGAAGGGGATTATCTGGGATTTAGGGGAATTTTTTGCATCCCCTGAAAGTAAAAATAACGTGACTTTCGGGACGTAAATGTAATAGATAATATATTGTATATACATATAATATTTATAATATTGTAATACGATATAATAGAATTGTTTATACTTATAGTATTTATAATATTATGTAATACAAATTAATACAAATTATATATCTATATGAACACATGAATACACAAATATATATACACACATGTATACACACAAATATTATACACATATGAACACATGAATACACAAATATATATAAACACATATATATACGAGAACACATATATACATATACACACATGCATACACACAAATATGCTAAACATATGAACACGTGAATACACAAATATATGCACACATATACACACACATATATACACATGCACACATGTATACATATACACAAATATGCTACACATATGAACAATTGAATACAAATATATGCACACATATACACATACACATATATACACATATGAACATATGTATATATATACACATGTATACACACAAATATGCTACACATATGAACACATGAATACACAAATATATGCACACATATACACACACATATATACACATGCACACACATATACATATACACATGTATACACACAAATATGCTACACTTATGAAGACATGAATACACAAATATATACACACATGTATACACACATATATACACATGCACACACATATACATACACACATGTATACACGCAAATATGCTACACATATGAAGACATGAATACACAAATATATACACACATGTATACACACATATATACACATGCACACACATATACATACACACATGTATACACGCAAATATGCTACACATATGAACAAATGAATACACAAATATATGCACACATATACGCACACATATATATACATGCACACACATACATATACACATGTATACACACAAATATGCTACACATATGAACACATGAATACACAAATATATGCACACATATACACACACATATATACACATGCACACACATATACATATACACATGTATACACGCAAATATGCTACACATATGAACACATGAATACACAAATATATGCACACATATACACACACATATATATACATGCACACACATACATATCACATGTATACACACAAATATGCTACACATATGAACACATGAATACACAAATATATGCACACATATACACACACATATATACACATGCACACACATACATATACACATGTATACACACAAATGTGCTACACATATGAACACATGAATACACAAATATATGCACACATATACACACACATATATACACATGCACACACATACATATACACATGTATACACACAAATATGCTACACATATGAACACATGAATACACAAATATATGCACACATATACACACACATATATACACATGCACACACATATACATATACACATGTATACACACAAATATGCTACACTTATGAAGACATGAATACACAAATATATACACACATGTATACACACATATATACACATGCACACACATATACATACACACATGTATACACGCAAATATGCTACACATATGAACAAATGAATACACAAATATATGCACACATATACGCACACATATATATACATGCACACACATACATATACACATGTATACACACAAATATGCTACACATATGAACACATGAATACACAAATATATGCACACATATACACACACATATATACACATGCACACACATATACATATACACATGTATACACACAAATATGCTACACTTATGAAGACATGAATACACAAATATATACACACATGTATACACACATATATACACATGCACACACATATACATACACACATGTATACACGCAAATATGCTACACATGAACAAATGAATACACAAATATATGCACACATATATACACACATATATACACATGCACACACATACATATACACATGTATACACACAAATATGCTACACATATGAACACAGGAATACACAAATATATGCACACATATACACACACATATATACACATGCACACACATATACACACAAGAATACACAAAAATATGCTACACACATGAACACATGAATACACCAATATATGCAGACATATACACACACATATATATACATGCACACACATACATATACACATGTATACACACAAATATGCTACACATATGAACACAGGAATACACAAATATATGCACACATATACACACACATATATACACATGCACACACATACATATACACATGTATACACACAAATGTGCTACACATATGAACACATGAATACACAAATATATGCACACATATACACACACATATATACACATGCACACACATACATATACACATGTATACACACAAATATGCTACACATATGAACACATGAATACACAAATATATGCACACATATACACACACATATATACACATGCACACACATATACATATACACATGTATACACACAAATATGCTACACTTATGAAGACATGAATACACAAATATATACACACATGTATACACACATATATACACATGCACACACATATACATACACACATGTATACACGCAAATATGCTACACATATGAACAAATGAATACACAAATATATGCACACATATACGCACACATATATATACATGCACACACATACATATACACATGTATACACACAAATATGCTACACATATGAACACATGAATACACAAATATATGCACACATATACACACACATATATACACATGCACACACATATACATATATACATGTATACACACAAATATGCTACACTTATGAAGACATGAATACACAAATATATACACACATGTATACACACATATATACACATGCACACACATATACATACACACATGTATACACGCAAATATGCTACACATGAACAAATGAATACACAAATATATGCACACATATATACACACATATATACACATGCACACACATACATATACACATGTATACACACAAATATGCTACACATATGAACACAGGAATACACAAATATATGCACACATATACACACACATATATACACATGCACACACATATACACACAAGAATACACAAAAATATGCTACACACATGAACACATGAATACACCAATATATGCAGACATATACACACACATATATATACATGCACACACATACATATACACATGTATACACACAAATATGCTACACATATGAACACAGGAATACACAAATATATGCACACATATACACACACATATATACACATGCACACACATATACACACAAGAATACACACAAATATGCTACACACATGAACACATGAATACACCAATATATGCACACATATACACACACATATATACACATGCACACACATATACATATACACATGTATACACACAAATATGCTACACTTATGAAGACATGAATACACAAATATATACACACATGTATACACACATATATACACATGCACACACATATACATACACACATGTATACACGCAAATATGCTACACATATGAACAAATGAATACACAAATATATGCACACATATACGCACACATATATATACATGCACACACATACATATACACATGTATACACACAAATATGCTACACATATGAACACATGAATACACAAATATATGCACACATATACACACACATATATACACATGCACACACATATACATACACACATGTATACACGCAAATATGCTACACATATGAACAAATGAATACACAAATATATGCACACATATACACACACATATATATACATGCACACACATACATATACACATGTATACACACAAATGTGCTACACATATGAACACATGAATACACAAATATATGCACACATATACACACACATATATACACATGCACACACATACATATACACATGTATACACACAAATATGCTACACATATGAACACATGAATACACAAATATATGCACACATATACACACACATATATACACATGCACACACATATACATATACACATGTATACACACAAATATGCTACACTTATGAAGACATGAATACACAAATATATACACACATGTATACACACATATATACACATGCACACACATATACATACACACATGTATACACGCAAATATGCTACACATATGAACAAATGAATACACAAATATATGCACACATATACGCACACATATATATACATGCACACACATACATATACACATGTATACACACAAATATGCTACACATATGAACACATGAATACACAAATATATGCACACATATACACACACATATATACACATGCACACACATATACATATATACATGTATACACACAAATATGCTACACTTATGAAGACATGAATACACAAATATATACACACATGTATACACACATATATACACATGCACACACATATACATACACACATGTATACACGCAAATATGCTACACATATGAACAAATGAATACACAAATATATGCACACATATATACACACATATATACACATGCACACACATACATATACACATGTATACACACAAATGTGCTACACATATGAACACATAAATACACAAATATATGCACACATATACACACACATATATACACATGCACACACATATACACACAAGAATACACAAAAATATGCTACACACATGAACACATGAATACACCAATATATGCACACATATACACACACATATATACACATGCACACACATATACATATACACATGTATACACACAAATATGCTACACATATGAACACATGAATACACATGAATACACAAATATATATAGACACATATATACACATGCA